CGGCCCCCCACCCCAGCACCTCCCCGGGGGAAATACCTACAACTGCTGTACACACACACACACACACGCATACCATATATATGGTGTGTGCCTACACATATATATACATATACATGCAGTAATTTTATATGTATATATTTATATATGCATTAGTTCTGTATGACATGACTACTGCATATATAACATGCTATATAATGACATATGATCTATGACACCAGCTTGTTTCAGCTAATATATACATATAATATATACAGTTATGTGTAACATGTAACAACCATATGTATTATTTGTGACTATACACACAAACTATATATTTTATATATATATATATATATACACATATACACACATACATACACACACACACACACCCAAAACTGTATCTCTCTCTCTCTATTTTTTTACTTACTAAAGCTAGAGCTTTAACATACTTTGCCATTTAACCTAAAAGCATTTGTGGAAACAAAATTATTCCAATAATTGTTTCTGTGATAAGAATACCTGGACTATACAATTTGATTTCAAGTACTTATAAAATCTTGCATAGATAAAGTTACCTTTAGAAGCTAAAAATTTGGAGTTGTGTGTGATTAGATGGGCCATTAATTCATGATTTAGACCTAAGGGCAAAAAAAGGTCATGTCAGTGATCTATAAAGTTAATTTTTTTTTTTTTTTAAAGATTGAAGTAGGAAAATCAGTTCTCTTTTTTCAGCTCATAATTTCAAAGACTGTTTATTCTTATCAGAGGCAGAAAAGGCTTACATTGAAGTGCACAATCACGGCCTCTTCTGGAAGGTACAATGATTCCTAAGCCTCAGGAATTTAACTGTACTGCAGAAAAAAAACTGAATTTTTTTTGGTCTTGAAAAACAAAGCTAAAACAGGAACAAAATCAAAGCGACACTCCAAAATCCTCCAAGCTTGCAGTAGCCCTAATTTATCACCATCAAGTGAAAATTTAATCTCATATTTGGGGAGGGAGAGATAAAAATAATCTGTTAATTTCTTATGAAACTAAAGAATTTATACCACTGTATTATACATAATAATGCTTCATTTCAACCTGGCACAGCATGAACAAGCAGTATACAAGCTTCTCCTCACCATCTCCGAATAAATTTTTCGACTAGTCTAAGTTGAAATTTCCCCACTTTTGCAGTATTGGGCTGCTACTGAACACAGATAAGACACTTGTATTGAATTAGGCTAAACTGATAGCAGTTCTGTCATACAAATAGTTATTGTGATATTTTCATTTATAGACCAATCTTAACTTGGAGTAAAATCTTCCAAGATGAGAAGCTAAACATTAATGAAACATTTAGCTTATTCCATGATGCATGTGAAAATGAATTAATACACTTATTCTGAGACATTCCTCAGAAGGTGAATGACAATGTTATAATGCCATTATTAGTCAAAAAATATATGCATCATTCCTGACAGTCTGGGCCAACATTAGTTATCATGCACTAAAATAAATTGCAGTGGACACTCCATCATGTGAGTTAGCACGGGCTGGAATAGCTCAGCTAATAGCAGGACACCCCTGCACCACTGTCCCCAACATGCCGCTCCGGAAGTGCGGGACAAAGATTGCTGGAGCTCGCTGAACCGTGCTCATACACAGCACCGTTTTTCAGATTGAACATGGTACAACAGCACTATGTTGTTTCCCAGTCTGTCCTGCAGTGTGACCGCTAGTGCGGTTGGTGCTAGTCTCACACTGAGCCAAGCTGAGAGTCTCTGCAGATGAACTATGCAACAAATGCAATTTTCGGTAAACTGCCCCCAGGTCCTGGTAACCATCTGTGGACCAAAACGGAAAAGAACCTTCAGCACACGGAGTCCACTTCATTGCAAGTACAGCACATTACCAACCAAAACCCTTAATTGTGAATATTGATTTTGCTGGGTGAATGAGTAAATCAGATGCAGGTAACATACGCATTGCACCAATTTTTCTAACAAACTTGGCTGGGTCAAGGTAAGAAGTAGGAAGTAATGGGATAACAAACAGCTTCTGGAGAGGTGTGCTGCCAGCTAGTTACATAGGGAAGGTTTTGCATTCAGAGGTCTGATCCTGCAGCCACTGCCTCTCAGCCTCAGCCAAAAGGTGAAGGAAAAGTCACAGGAGAGTGGCCACACATCCTCTGGGAACAGAAGGAATACTTTAAAAACAATTACTCTCCAAAGGGGCAGTAAAGAAAAAAAAAAAGCTCAGATACTGAAAAGCCTCTGGTTATGCGGTAAGATTTGCAAAAGCATGGAGGCACCCATATCTCTAAACAGCCAGTAACCGGGGTGGGGTGGGGGACACAAGAATACCCACTGTCCTAAGAGTTTAATCGTCCTTTAGTGAAGCAAAGTTCCCTTCAACTTTGAAGGTGGAGGATCAGTGCTTAGGAGGAAAATCCTCTCAGAACATAACATAGTCTTTCTCCAAGATAGGAACGACAAAGGTGCACAGAAAGGAGCAGCTTTATCCTGTTATTCCTGCGGTTGCCCAGGTAACAAACAAATTAAAACTCAAAGTTATCTTTGAGTCTCAAGTTTGTAGATAATTATTTGAACTGTGACAGCCTGGGCTCAAAACTTTTTAGTGACAATCATGAAGTATCCGGATGATATGCCTCCGATGAATAAGCAAAGAAATGAGGTCCAGGTGCAGCCTGGTATTAATCGGAATTATTCATTCACTCACCTCTGGTACGTTTCTCTGTGTTATGACAACTAAAAGTGAGATAGAAGGAAGTCAAGAAAGAAGGAATTTTTTTGTAATAGAAAAAAAATTGGTGATAAAATGAAAACTTCCATCTTCAGAAATACAGTCATACTTTGATACTTTAACACCTCTACAAATATAGTTTAAGCAGTGTTACAATCAAAGTTTCTTTTTCTCCGAGACCAGTAAAATCATTTTTCTCTCATGAAGGGGTATTTCTGCTCACAAACAATTTTAATTGCTTTCCTCAGTGTCGCTACTTGTATGGTGTAGAGTCAAGAAATGGTAATCGGAAGAACAAATTTACAGGTATAAAATATCAAGGCAACCAACTATGACACTGATTTATATTGCTGGATTAGTAGACACTCCTTCCTCTTAATACATGCACCCCGTTCCTTCAGAACTCTCATCTTAGGGCCTAGCTTTGTGAAACACTCAGAAAGCCAGCTATGGTACAAGGATCATATATCATGTTAGGAATCATAGAAGTGTTACTCCGATAATAAAACCCTAGGTACATTACCAAAAAAATAACATAACAAAGCATTAACAAAGTTAGTTTAATAGCAACAACAGAAGTTTAAGGTGGGCAACAGTTCTCTCTGTAACTCAGCACTAAAAGCTATAAATTAACTGAAGGATTGGAAAAAAACAAAACTTTCTTTTCATGTAACACTACATAAAATTATAGTTAAAACAAACCTTCAATAACACTGTAATTAAAGCTGAAAGCCCATCAGGAGAGATGGGCATTTTGTGGAATGTCCATCTTCATATGTGTCTTTATATTGTCCGTCTTTATATTTGTGCATTGGTATCAAATTAAAGGCAACAGTTATTCTACAGAAAATAATCCAGGAAAGTCTATTTAAATGTGTTTTAGAATGAGTAATGGAAATATTAACAGTGTGAGGGTTAACTCATGCAAAGAAGCTTTTAGTTGATCTTAAAGCACAGAGGAAAAATCAAGGCCACAAAGAGTTTTAAGGACTTATTCTATGTGACAGCACAATCATTCCTTAAAGGTCCAATAAGGTAAGTGGAGGAGGGCATCATTCTCTAAATTACAGGTAGTTTTACATACTATAGTAACAGTATGCAAATTAAGTAAGTCAGAAGTGAGGTATCTTTGGAAAGTCTAATTGACACTTTACTGTTTGTCTTTTTGGAAACATTGGAATTTGTAGTACAGTTCTGTATCTCAGAGGAACAAAGGACTCTGCAGTTACACGCTGTACATAGCCATCTATAGTAAGATTGTACTGTGCATTTTGATATCAAACAGTTTTGAGAAAATAAAACTCAGTCTGTCAGCATAGAAGAACTGCATAAGAATAATTTTTCCCTTGTTCACTTTCCCTGCAACATTTTTTTTCTATTGAGGAATAAAGATAGTAATGAGGGATGACAAAAAAATACCTCCTTTGAATCACCAACTATGCTCAAGATTTCTCCATCATGTTTCATAAGTCAGCTATCCTCATTACATCCTACAGGGTCTGCTCTAAAATCAAATGTACTCAATAGGTTTCAGATGATGTTCATTACCTTATGAAAAGGACTCTTACTCAGCAACGCTAAATACACCCTAAATCCCACTTCTACCAAGGCTGTTAGCTTAAATACCTACAGTACACTCAAACCCTATCAACTTCAGGCAAAATTCACATTTGGTAATTTACTCATTCTTTTGAAAGGAAAAAATGTCATTCAACTCCTTAAGCCTGGGAATCTTAGGCATACACAGATTTGTGTGTGCATATAACGTTTAACATTTAAATTTAATTAAAAACTTAGTGTTTCCTCCTGTAACAGTACCCCTACTTAAACAGCTGAAGAAAAAAAACCCAGTAGCAATTAAGAAGGGTAAGGCAGAGAAATTACAATGTTACCATTGCATAAAAACACCTCCAAAATCAGCTTCCACTTCTCAATGTTAGGACTATGCAATGACAAAGTCAAAAACCTCGCCTTTTCTATTAATAGCAAAGGAAGCAAAAAAATTATTAAACATATTTCCTTATGCAAATCCACCATTCTTCATATACAGAAAATCACACACTCATGAAACAAGTTTGTAAACTCTAGTCAGGAGCCAATTTACATTTATTCCTTCAGCCTTACAGTGAGGAAAAAACGTTTTCAAGGATTCGGTGTGTGTGTGTTTTTTTTTTTTTTAAACAAGTTATTTTCAGCTTTCAGTAGGCTCTTCTATACAAGAGGGAAGCCCAGAGTTTTGGGTTTTTTTGTATTTTTTGAAAGGGAAGTTGGACATAAAAAAAAATCTTGTTTCTACTTGTTTAGAAGCCTTGTAAAAATTCTTGTAGCTGTGCAACTATTTCTGTATCCACAGTTTCCATAAGCGCATGAAAACCTTGTTCTCCCAGTAATTCCTTCTTGGCCTTTAGCTTCTCATAGACGAACTGCTGCAATGACACAGTGTGTATGGGGTCCTTCAATGCAAGCTGTGGAAGCAGATAAGAAGAAAAAAAAATAAGTAACAACACAGTAAAAAATAGTCTGTGACTTACTCATCTCTCCTGAGCCAGGGAAACAAAGACCTCCTGCTTTTCTTTGTACACAAAGTAAAGATCAAATTTACCTCCAAGATGAAAAACTGATGGCAGTTTCAAACTATTTGAAACAACAGTGCTCAAATCATGGACTCCATCTACTATAAGATTTTGCCCTTCTACAAGATAAAGAGATTTCAAAGCTGCTTTGTTAATTTCCCATCACTCCTATGAAAACCATCAGATGTTACCAAGATAAGTACTTTAAATTTTTCATAAAGTATAACCAATTTGATTTTACTAATAAGGAAACAAAACACTGAAAAAAGCTGAACTGATTTAAATTCATATGACAAAAAACAGAAGCAGCTGGAAATAAAAATCCATTTTATTCAGATTTTCAGAGCTATTTTCTAACCGTTAAACAACAATAGCTAAAATAAATTTTCCTGATACATCAAGCACAATCAAGTCCAGATAAACGACATAATTTTCTAGGGGAAGGAGGAAGAATATCTGTCTTGATAATGAGATGTGTGCGCAGGCCAGGGGCAGAGGATTACACAGCATTTTTCTCAGTCCACCAGATGGGATGAAAGGGGCATGTGTATGTGTGTGGATTGGTGGCAGGGTTGGTGCACGTGGAGCTTGAAGTATCATAAAGTAGGATGCTGAATAAACAGGAAATTACTGCAGATCTGAGATCTTCTGCTTATCTTAGTATCAAAACCATACAACACTACTACTTATGCTGAAAGGTCAGAAAACCATACGCTGCTAGACCTCAAAGGCCAGTGAAATAGGAGACTCTTCTTAATTTGTAGTCCTCTGCTATACTGCTATCCCTGAAAGAATCGAAGCATATTAAACTTGCACAACTGCTTCTTCTGTATGTCCTCATTCTTATTTCACACATCATCTATGGCATAAGTTTACTGCATTATTAGCAATATTATCAGCCACTATGTAAACAATAAAGAGAATTATTACTGTAGATAAAGGATATTGAAATTTAACGTGATCAGCTCTAACACCTACATTTTTTAGATCATAAATTCCCTTATTGGTTTGAATCAGAATTAAGAAATATGGCATTAACTTCTTCTCTGACTAGAAGTCATGGGAAACAATTAGCATCCCATAGAGTTTATATTAAAAGGGACTGCAATATAGAAAGTACGCCTCATTTAATAAGCTACATGGACTGACAAATGGGTTTGAACATAGACACATCATCAATAAAAGCATAATCTGTTCAGTGCCTGAGCCAAAAGTTTCATTTTTCTTTAGCAGTAGTAAGTTTAGGTCACTCTCACCAGATAAGCTATGTAATTTTTCAAACATTCATGGATGAATTCCTAAAATAATAATAATAAAATTCTTCCAAGAAAAATCACATTGCACATTCATGACACCTTTCCATTCTGGTATAATATGATAAAGAATTATTTAGATATGGTTTAATATGGAATGGAAGACATCATACCTTCAGATTTTTTTTAAACAATATTACAGCCAAAACAGGAAGGATATACTGATTGAAACAAATATAAGACTGTTATTATATTATAAACACTTGTGTTTGCCTATTAGGCTTTAAGATAAAAGTAAAAGCAAAGAAAGCTAAAGCAAAAATAAAAGAAACAAAAACATTGCAATTGTCACAAAAAAGAAATTGAAGCTGTATTTCTTTTAAACAAGTGGAGTTAATAAGCAGACTACTTTTTATCAGTGCCTGCAAGTTCTTTCTTCCTTCATATTATGGTCACCTTTCATGTTGTAAATCTCTTAATCATCCTCTCGGTATTCCTAATATCAGCTTCTTAGCCTTTGATCCTCCACCGTTTTCTACTCCCCAGCTATTTTACATTTCAAGTGTAAAATATCATCTTTTTATTTCTAACACTACAGTCTTTTGCAAAGGGATCCAATTGTGCTAATAGTTTAGCATTCTTTGCATAGTAATTCTTAGTAAATATAATCTTGTCTCCAAATTCTAAACAGGCTTCTCAAATTGAAATACTCTAACAAAAATCTGAGCTACAGCTACTGTAATCAATATTTGCCAAGGTTACTTTTATCCTCTTGTAATATTGCTTTAGTAGACCTACAGGGTAAAAAAAGACCATCTGGGCAAGCAGAGAAAGAAACAACTTCAGAACAGTTTGTATTTGTTAAAAAAGAATTATAATCTGGGAAATATACTACATGTCTAATTTATTTGTTAGTTTCAGTAAGTTCATACCTCTAACCAGTCATACACAAAATTACTGCAGGGAATCCTGCGCAGAAAACCAAGTATTAAAATTGTGCAAACAAGTATTCTCATACTCTTAAGTCAAATGAGACTTCCAGTCAATGCTACTGCGTTTGAGTTAAAAAGACTTACCTTAAGGACTTAATACACTAATCTTTCAATCAATAAGGCAGAAAAAGCTGCCTTAGCGCAAGTCCCCCTGAATGCAATAGAATTCCACTAAAGTATGAAGGTACAGTTCAATGTCTGTTTTTTCAAAGTCCTCTGACACGAACAGCAGAGGTCAGTAATTAGTCCATAAACTATGTTATCACAACATTAGAATACTATCTGGTTTAACAGGTGACCCTAAAAGACATTTTCAGACTATTGTACTTGATTTTTAAGGAAAAAACCCTCCTCTTCAAAATTAAGTCTCCAGCTTGCTAAGTGCTGAACATCTGACGAGTCCAGCATGGAACATGACCACATCAAAATTAACACTGATAACTGAGACTGCAAACACTGGTTCAGGGACGACCTTTTTATATATGCATATGTATGCTGTATTCCTAACAGCGTGGCCATACTTTTCATTGAAATACTCCTGAGTTTGAGAAGAGCAAAACCACATATTTTCAAATTAAAAACTCCCAACAGCTTCATAGCCAAAACAGTTAAAGGCAGGAAATATAAAGTTGGGCAAGGAAATACACGGTATTGAAAGATGCTCTAAGTTGCTCAGTATCAGCTGCTTTATGTCTTTTGTCAAAGAGGTCCACACAATGAACACTGGAAAAATACCTGTAGAGTGGCTGGTATAATCAGCTATCAGACCACTAAATCTTACTCTCAGCATGAAGGAACTATCTTCAAACCACTGAATAGGGTATTTCAGTTTCCTCTAAAATTCATGCCTTATTTTTTCATTATTTGCTATGAGATATATATATAT